AATAATTTAGATGTAAGGACTTAAAGATAAATAGAATTGTAAATTTATAATTTATTTAATTTTTAATGACATAAGGGTATTATAGGTTTTTTACAAGTACAAGGAGGTACGAGGTTGGTGCGAGTGTGGTACGAGGCAAAAAAGAATTTTCGTTACATCGTACCAACCTCGTACCTTAATCTAATGGTTCAAATTGATTTTAAGTCAATCTAAAGGTGATATAAAAAGGGTACCTAATGTTAGGTAGGTACGAAGGGTACCTGACAATAGACGATCCCTACTTACTTTGTCGGAGCATCGGCCTGCGAGTGTAAAGCATAGAATTGGATTTGAATTTGGGGGTAATTGAAAATTGCCTTTAAGGGTTTAGCCTATTTTGCAAAAAAATCCCATTATTTTTCAAAATTACATTGGCCATCCTCGATGTCGATGGGATAAAATTGTCGAACATGTGTGTAATCTGACTTTTCAAACTTTAATATGAATAATGTCCATCCGGTTTTAAGTTTCAATGGATTTCATCTATCGGTGTTTCACTATATATTTTTCCAATTTCAGATAGAAGTATGTGTGTAATCTGACGGTTCAAAACTTTAGTTTGAATAATTTTCACATCGATAGAGTTCGAATTTGTGTTTGCATTTTTTCTTCTTTACTTAAAGCAAACATGAGACAAAGATAAAATCATTACTATATATAAATGCAGATTTTTTCGAGTTATGTGTCAATTTTCAGTATTTGTAATTTTATGTGTCGATGCAATATGTGAAATATTAGTAGTTTACGATAATCTATATAGATTTGGACTTTTATTCATGTCTATTAGAAAATTTAGAATTATAATGTACTTGGTGAACTCATATTATAAATATATTTTATAATTTAATAATTTTTTATTGCTATTAATATATGATATATCAAATTAATCCCTTTGTGATGATTTTAGTTTGACATCATATTCAACATATAAGACAAAAAAAAAAAAAAATATCTATCTCTATAAGTATAATTAAATAAATATAACAATAAATTTTCATAAAAATATTTATAAATTTAAAATAAAAACTTGTAAGTTCATTTAATTTTTAAATATAATATTTTCAATTAATACCATGTAATCCACGAGTTTTGTACCACGATACCCATATTTACAACAGGACCCAAAATTTATGAGAAAATTACACCATTTACCATTCTTTCTATGATTATTTTTACAAATACGAGAAAATAAACTTATCTTCATATCTACCTTTTTCTTAATTAAAATCAATATGATGTGGCGACCGTATTTCAACAGTATTTAATAAGGAAAATACAACTGCATAATCTCCTCTCACCAAATCGATAAAGAATAAACGTGATTTCTTTCTCTCACCAAATCATAGAAAATTCTGCATCTTCACCACCATCGAGACAGCAAACCAAAACGCCACCAAAATTAAGTCTCTTTTCCATAATCCCTACCCAAAGCTTCCTCCAAGTTTCATGGCAACGGCGGTTTGTGGGGGCCGCCGCTTATTCGGTGTGGGGAATCAAGAGGGCACACAAAGAAGTACTTATCGAGATCGGAAGTCGTCGGTATCGCGGTGCAGATCGTCTTTACGACAACCTTCATTTGCTTATTATTGGTGTACTTGATGCTCAGAACATGGTAGAATTGGAGAAAGGTGGGGGCGCCGTGAAGGAAAACGGAGAAGATGAGTTTTATCCTGTTTTAGTGTTGTTTATATGTTGTT